AGGAGATCGGGCTGAAACTATAGCTACAAGCTATCCAAGGATGGTACTATAGAATGTCACCTCAAGGTAGGCCTAGTGGCGTCATCTCTTGGTTAGGCCGGAAACTTATCAATCCACCCTCGTATTTAGGACTATTATATTATGATTAATAGGAGATTTTGTATACCACAGTGTCCACATTCAATGTTATTGAATTAGTCATAATGATAAAAACAGAAACCATTCGAAAAACAATAAATCTAAGTATTTATAAATGAGAATATAAATTAGGGCATTACCTACAATGGGCTCATCGTTGTATACTTAGTTATATAATACCACAATTCATTCATCCAATCTTGCTTTAGGTATCCCGTTCCGTAAGTCGGCCGAGTTTTTTTTTTTTGTTTAGAATTCAAGTCTCATTTGACTTGACAAATACGACCTTCTTTTAGCGTCGTGTTCCTGTTTAAGGATTGTTTAGCCGACGTGAGTTTTTTTTTCCTTTCCAAATAAATCGGAAAGGGGAGCAACGGATCTGTTTAACCCTTATCCTTTACTCCTGTTCGAATTAGTTCTGCCTCGGTTAACCTAATCCTGAGTTAAATTAGTAAGAAGAAATGCTTACCAACAAACCATTATTGTATCGATTAATAACCCTAAGCTTAAACTAGATCGTTTTCCCAAAGGGCAACAACTCGCACGGCAACCTAATTTGAAACCTATTCCTCACTTACCTACCATCAGAAAAATTCGAAAAAGATTATCTGGAAACGAAACGTTGCCCGTGGGCGCGGCGGAGAAGGTTATGAATGATTAGGATAGGAATAGGCAAAATAAGTCGGTAAGTCACCTTTTCAGGTATGAGGAACTAAATACATATTAGAAGCAGTAACAGGAACTAAGAGGAGACGAGTTTAATCTAGACTAGATTACTGTTCACAGATAGTTAAAGAGTGAAGGTGAGTGTCCAACCAGTGTTAGGATTGACGATCTTATGATGATGATGATGATGATCAGTGTGACAGGAGGTTGATACCTGGTACAATTTTTTGCAACACTCGGAAAAGTTAGTTAGTAAAGTTAAATTGAGTATATTTCGATGTCTAAAGAGAAAAGCATTGAACGAAAAATATCCAGTCATAAACATTTGGGTAATTGCTTTGTTTGACCGAAATATCCAGGGCGAAATTCTTAGAGCAGGTCGTTATGTGCAGCAAGAGAAGTTAATTTCAAAACTTAGCTAAACTAAAGTCATTAAACAAATTTAAGGGAGCAAATGCTTTCGAAACACGAATTGGAACTCTGAAAACAATTAGCTTTCAAACGACGTCAGCAAAATTTAGTAGGTACGTTAATTAAAATAACGGAAACGATTTCGAAGTATAATAAATTTATGCACGAGTATTAAACGGTTAGATATACTTTTACAAACCAAAAAAAAGTGGTATCGTGGGACACCGGGTAAAAATGAAGTTTCTTGTGTCGTCAGTCCTAAGATTGGTTGGACACGCATCTCCACTCTTTCCTATCCTGAGTTAATCTTTGCATTTTCCTAAAACTAGAATATCTAACATCATTAACTATTTGTGAACAGTAATCTAATCTAGGTCTACCTCTACTCCTCTTAACTTCTGTTTCTTCCTCTAATATGTCTCTGACTAGATCTTCATGCCCGAGTAAGTGTCCTACCAACCTATCTCGCCTATTTTTTATTGACTTCCATACAGTCCTCTGTTCTCCTAGTGTTTCTAATACCTCTTCATTCCTAACCTTCTTTATACATGGTATCCTCAACATTCGCCTATAACACCACATTTCGAATGTTTCTAGATGATGTTGATTGCGTCTTCAATGTATACATTAAAAAGTATTGGTGACAGTTTGCATCCCTGTTTGACTCCCTTCCTAATATAGCTCCAGCTCTACAACTGCCCGTTGCTCTTTATACAAACTAAATATCACTTTTCTATTTATGTAACTCATCCCTACATTTTTAAGTATGTTTAACATCTTGTCCCATTTGACATTGTCAAAAGTTTTTTCTAAATTTACAAATTCTATGTACGCACTCTTTCCTTTTTCTATAGTTTTCTCTATTGTTACCCGTAAAGCTACAATGGTCTCCCGCGTTCTTCCTTCTTCTAAACCTAAATTGATCTTCCCCTAATAGTTTTCTAGCCTTTAGTTCCATCCTGTTCTGTACAATTCTAGTTAAGATTTTTGACGCATGGGAAGTTAAGCTAATTGTTCTAAATGTCTCTCACCTATCCGCGCCTCTCATTTTAGGCATGGTTACTACCACGTTCCGTTTATAATCCTCTGGGATTATCCGCGTCTCGTAAATATGACTAACTAGCTTAAACGTACGATCTCTAACCTCTTGTCCTGCATGTTTTAGAATTTCCACCTGTATCCCATCTTTACCTGGCGCTTTATTGTTCTTTAAGTTTTTTAATGCTACATCGAACTCTTCTCTCATTAGGAGATAGCTTGGCTCCCCTGTATCTCCACAATATTAATTTGAAATTTTGGCTAAGGTATTTAAAAAAAAAGGACTGAAAAATATTTAACGTACGCATTCCGTCAGCGCTATTCACTCACAGTGAAATGACAAGGTTGCTTTTAACGAGTTTGTTTCCGAATTTTCCACTTCCTCTCTCTCTCTCTCTCTCTCTCTCTCTTTGCTAGCAGTAAATAAGAGAGATATCCACTAACACGTTTGATTTTAGACCAGCGTTAACAAACCCTGGGGAAATTTCCCTATATCTAGGGAATTTAGAGCCAGCTTAGGGAAAAGGGGATTTTTATTAATTTATAACTTAATTTAATTTTAGTACCAAAAGAATTCTTGTTGTTTTAAGGTTTTTTATACTTTAAAAATTTTTTCTAAATAATTATGAATAAGTAAAGAAGAAAAGGTATCCTTTTTTGCGCCAAATGAATTTTTTTGCCATCAGAATCTCCGGGAAAATATAAGGAAATGCGATAAAGAACTTCCAATCAAAAATCTTACCTTTAACGGCATTAAGCTTGTTCCCTACCATTTGCTTGGCTACAAAGGCTGCCATCTTGAACGACTAGGATTATCTGGAACAAGCGGATAAAAAAGTAATTCACAATACAGTTGGCCAAATTATAAGGAAAAATTTTGCGATCAGAATTTCCTTTATCTGAAAATACGCTATTTGCTCTGAGTGATTATGAGTCAGTCGGCAATTATTAGGTTAAAGAGCAAAGCGGACAGCTTTAACACAACGTACAATAAGAATAAACTATGAATTTGTCAGTACCAATTTTGCTACGAACAACCAAAAGCAAAAAAAAGAAAATCCTCACAAATTGAGGCACAAGCAGACAGGGAAATGTTTCGAGTCATGTCGGACATCCCCTATAATTATATGGTCCTAAAAAAACGTTCTCGTTTATTGGATTGTATATAAAGAAAGTTAAACTAAGTGACTTCAAATCTTTAAACCCTGTGGTTATTTGACATTTTCCACAAACAAAACAAAATGCGAAATCAATATTTAGGACGATGAGTTTGATCATACCCTACATGAATTACATCTTATTTTTTATTTGAAATCATCAAAGCTTCTTCACATTTTTCTCATAAAATCAAATATTCAGTTTAAATGAACTATTAGATACAAATTTTGAAAGGACGATTTGAAATACCTACATACATACGTATATCATGAAATATCTCGTTAACTGTAACAGTGTACAAATAAATAAAAGTACTTGCTTACATTCTTGCTTCTTACGTTACAACAAAGTGTAGTGAAAAGAAGTATTTTTATAATTGATAGAAAGAGACTTTTATTGATCAGTAAGAGTCTCGAAAAGACGTAAAGCGTTAGAAGGAATCGGAACAAAAGACCTGTTAAAAGGATCAAATTACTTGAAAGCATCAAAGGAAGAGTAACTAAATCATCCACCGTAAAAGAGAAGGATGAAATGCTGAAAGATAGAAAAAGCTTTATATTTACCCTTAAAATTGTTACGGTTGCTTCTAGCAAATGATATTAAAACTAGATAACATGAACAGTTCATACACTAATAAAAGTCATCATTTTAAATTGTAATTAAAACAGACAAACTGTTGTAAAAAATGTAATTAACAAAGCCAAATACATATACGGTTAGACATAAAGAAAGTACTTGGAGAATTTGCTTTTCGATTTTAAGTTAGACAATCTGACCCCGAAAAATATTTACTGCCACACAACATTCCTAGGGATATAGAGGCCGTTGTCAGCGCCCCGTTCTCTCTCTATCTGTATAAACAGAGTAGTTTTGAAAACAACCAGCGTCTGACAGGCGGGCGCCGGCGCCGCGACGTCATCGCTCCTAGCAAGACATTAAAGATTCCTTGTTTCAAAACACCACATAGGCATATTTAAGTGAACTGTTTACTTCTGAACTTGAGAAAAGATACACGAAACTTACGATAAGTAAATAAAACTCTAAAATCGATAATTCTATACAAAAATTATCATTTTTAAAACGTACTGTGGGTCACTAGAACCCCATGGCCTTTGTAAAAAGTCCAACAATTTTTACCGTACGTGAAACCATTTATCTGACCAAACCAAATCCCTAACCGGGAGTTGGATAGTTTGAAACAACCCAGAACTATTTATCGCGTTGGAACGTACGGTAAACATTGGTGTTTTAGATGAAAATAGCCCGTTTAGGTAATCCAGGTTATCCGAGGAGTTTCATTGTCGGTCCTGGATTAAATTCCTTGCACACATTCTGCAGCATAGCGGCGAGAGTGAGGTAGGCAACTTTGTGGAGAGAAATACACTTAATAACAGAGAATTTCACGTGCACGTTCTACTGTTTCGAATAGCTTGCTTCGTTTTCTTGACGTTGTTGGTGTTTTGTTCTGTTTGTCGTATAGAGTCAGCTAGCTGATGAAGCGGAATGCGAGTTATTCTATACCTATAGATGGCGAACTAGCCGCAACGGTCATGGACCGTTGGCATTCTAAACTTATTGTCTCAATTGTAGGATCGGAGACTACAAAGTTTCCACTCTATCGCTCGATCGAATCAAATTTATTTTTAGCAAATTCTGCCACTATCTGGAACAACAAATATATTTTACGCATCAAGAGATTTTGAAGATATTGAGCTGTTTCTAAAACAGTCAAATGGAGGAAGTTCAGCTCCAGGTATTCTCTAATTTGGACATTGTTTAATTATGATGAGATTTCTATTAGTTTTAAAGACTTTTGTACAGAAATTTAAGCTTCAGTTTCAACTCACATAGCACAATTATTAACGAGTTTTCTAAATTATTTAGGCTTCTTGAGACAGTCAAAGTGGATAAGCTTAGATTAAAGTTTTGAGTCAATAGTTAAGGATATGGGTTGTTCTAGTTTTAGGGAAATGCGAAGATTAGCTCAGGATAGGAAAGAGTGGAGGTGCGTGTTCAACCAGTCTTGGGACTGACGACTTTATGATGATGACGATGATAGAATGTAAATGCATCGAAATGTGAGAATATTTCAACATAATAGGATTTCTAAGGAGTTCCAGATTTTGAACCACACACATAATGAAATAAGTTAGAGTTACTTCAGCTACAGTTTTAATTGATAAAGTATCCATTTGGGTGCAATTAGAATGTTTACGTTTTAAAATCACTATAAAAGATTTTATTACTGGTACAACAAATTTTACATAAATCGAATAGAAGAAAACAAGGACAATAAGTACATTGAAATTCTTGTAAATCAAATACAAAACACGTTTTATTGCTAGTTGCATTAAATTTGCTATGTGATCGTTAATTAAACTGTACCATATAGGTGGACGGAAATAATTGTAAAACAAATCCAACGTGATACAATACGCATAACGGCGGTGTTATTGTAATCACTGATCAAACATTAATCCTGTTAAATTTATTCCAGCACTAAAATAATTTTACTGTGTATATGGGCTTACGACATGCCCCATCAGCAATTAATCAAGTTAGCTAATATTACTATTCTATCAATTGTTTTCGTCTGTAATTTGCATTGAGGATTTCTTTTGTTTAAAATAATGCAATTTTAACAGTAGTCCGCATTGCGGCCGTAGGTTTAGCATCTTATTAAAGAGAGCAGCGGTTTTTTTAGAAAGGTAAATAATTGTTACCCATGTATTTGCTTCTAAGAAAATACGCCAACTAGCAAAATTACAAATTTTCAGCTTAAACGCTTCAAAGTTGTTGTCGTAACTAATGGTTAACAAATGCCTTAGCAAGTTTCTTAACGTTCATCTGCTGCTTACTTTTTTGAAAGTTGACCTAGTAAAGCAAGAAATGAGAGAAGATGAGCCAGGACTCTTACTTTCTCAATAGCACAAATCAATTAAGACAAGATCATTGCTTAATGGCTTGTAATAAAAGTATCGAACACAATAGGACGATGAGTTTGATCATACCCTACATGAATTACATCTTATTTTTTATTTGAAATCATCAAAGCTTCTTCACATTTTTCTCATAAAATCAAATATTCAGTTTAAATGAACTATTAGATACAAATTTTGAAAGGACGATTTGAAATACCTACATACATACGTATATCATGAAATATCTCGTTAACTGTAACAGTGTACAAATAAATAAAAGTACTTGCTTACATTCTTGCTTCTTACGTTACAACAAAGTGTAGTGAAAAGAAGTATTTTTATAATTGATAGAAAGAGACTTTTATTGATCAGTAAGAGTCTCGAAAAGACGTAAAGCGTTAGAAGGAATCGGAACAAAAGACCTGTTAAAAGGATCAAATTACTTGAAAGCATCAAAGGAAGAGTAACTAAATCATCCACCGTAAAAGAGAAGGATGAAATGCTGAAAGATAGAAAAAGCTTTATATTTACCCTTAAAATTGTTACGGTTGCTTCTAGCAAATGATATTAAAACTAGATAACATGAACAGTTCATACACTAATAAAAGTCATCATTTTAAATTGTAATTAAAACAGACAAACTGTTGTAAAAAATGTAATTAACAAAGCCAAATACATATACGGTTAGACATAAAGAAAGTACTTGGAGAATTTGCTTTTCGATTTTAAGTTAGACAATCTGACCCCGAAAAATATTTACTGCCACACAACATTCCTAGGGATATAGAGGCCGTTGTCAGCGCCCCGTTCTCTCTCTATCTGTATAAACAGAGTAGTTTTGAAAACAACCAGCGTCTGACAGGCGGGCGCCGGCGCCGCGACGTCATCGCTCCTAGCAAGACATTAAAGATTCCTTGTTTCAAAACACCACATAGGCATATTTAAGTGAACTGTTTACTTCTGAACTTGAGAAAAGATACACGAAACTTACGATAAGTAAATAAAACTCTAAAATCGATAATTCTATACAAAAATTATCATTTTTAAAACGTACTGTGGGTCACTAGAACCCCATGGCCTTTGTAAAAAGTCCAACAATTTTTACCGTACGTGAAACCATTTATCTGACCAAACCAAATCCCTAACCGGGAGTTGGATAGTTTGAAACAACCCAGAACTATTTATCGCGTTGGAACGTACGGTAAACATTGGTGTTTTAGATGAAAATAGCCCGTTTAGGTAATCCAGGTTATCCGAGGAGTTTCATTGTCGGTCCTGGATTAAATTCCTTGCACACATTCTGCAGCATAGCGGCGAGAGTGAGGTAGGCAACTTTGTGGAGAGAAATACACTTAATAACAGAGAATTTCACGTGCACGTTCTACTGTTTCGAATAGCTTGCTTCGTTTTCTTGACGTTGTTGGTGTTTTGTTCTGTTTGTCGTATAGAGTCAGCTAGCTGATGAAGCGGAATGCGAGTTATTCTATACCTATAGATGGCGAACTAGCCGCAACGGTCATGGACCGTTGGCATTCTAAACTTATTGTCTCAATTGTAGGATCGGAGACTACAAAGTTTCCACTCTATCGCTCGATCGAATCAAATTTATTTTTAGCAAATTCTGCCACTATCTGGAACAACAAATATATTTTACGCATCAAGNTCCTGAAAAACGCAACTCGAATCCTTACATTTAATATTTTTAGTTTAATGGCGGTATCAATAAAAGTGACCATA